GTAATTTTTGCTTGCATAAGAAAGTTATTAGACTCTTAAATCCACCAATCCCAGAAGAGCACTTCAAGGTGTGATTGAAAAATTATATCCGTTGCTAGATTTCAGTGCAAAGTTATTTAAAATTATTATTTATGCAGTATACATTATTTTGCAATTTGCCAAAACAAACAAGCGCAACCAACGTTTTTTTTTCCTAAAAATGTCGAGTAATAATTGCTAATAATTTCTATAACTGCATCTTGAAAGTTTAATTTTTTGCTAGAAAAACGTGTAGTCCTGCGTTTGTTATTGATAGATAAAAGTTACGCAAACTTAAAATTGAGTTGAGTTCACTTCTAAAAAACGCCACCTTTTTAATGGGAGGCCTTCCACCCTAAGATCTCCATTCAGCATACGACTAATTAACTCTGACATTTATTTAAATTTCTTTGTGTTCAACTTTTTTACTATAGTCAATTACGAGTCACACCAGTTAAATAGAGAGTGTTTAAAACAATGCGAGCGGTGATATTTGTAGTTGCTTTAATTAATAAATTAGTTCTTTAAACGGCGCCAGTCGGCATCTCTGAAAGAAAAAATAATACATTTTTAACAGGATCTTTACAGGCATCAACGCCTTTCTGGGTGTACAGTCAGAGAGAAAATTAACGACGTGTAGGTTCTCAAGCAAATTTATTCACAAGACAATTTAACCGATTATTATTATCTAATATAATTTATAACAGGTGATTTCGAAGATTGTGACACTTAATTGTTTCTCTAATTGTATTTAGGTCATTTGTTAGAAAGAATTATAATATAATGTCCTTGTTACACTTACCTGAAACAGACATTTCAACGTCTCTAATTTACATCAGCCGATTTTAACTCCCACTTGGTCAGATTCTCTTTGTCTTGGATCGGTTCACAGACCAAGTTTACGAACGACGAGTTTTACGATTTCGAACGAGACTAATTATACGAATTTGTAAAGGCGCTCGAAAATATGTAGAGATTTGTGCAAACCGATGTTGAGTGCTGAAAATGAAATGTGCTTCACAGAGATGGTTTGTGAAGAGTCTTGAAGATGAATGAATTACTTGAAAGTGTATAGTAACAAAACTTGTTCAAGACAAATATTTTATAGTGAAAACATATAGTTGTGTCATAAAGAGGTAATATAAATGAAAGTGCGTTTCTTTTACGAAGAATAAGAAAGTTTTAAAAGTAGAGACAAAAATTTTCTTTTATTCATAAAATATTATTTACTTTATATTGTCCGGTAAATTAAGCTTTCCGGCTCCATCAGTTTGAGTCCGGTAAATGAACTTACTACGGTACCAGAGCCGATACAAATGTAAGTAAGCAACACTTACCGGATTGTTATTTTTGACTTTATAAAACATCAGACATTTTTTGAGACAATTTAAAAAAATTCATTACAATACAGGGTGTTAAAAAAAAGATTGTACAATATTTCAAAAGTAACGGTTTCTGAGATATCGAAAATTATTCGTTTTTTGAAACATTTATTTGCAATTTGTTTAAACAAAAAAAAGAAAAGCTTCTAGTAAAAATTCTAAAAAAAAATCACATTCGATATCTCCAAAACCGTTACTTAGCGGACCCATGTTTACTAAGACTTCTATGTTTATTTTGATCCATACTATTACCTCCTAAAATATTTTACAATCTTTTTTTAACACTCTATATAGGGTGTGCTAGAACTCGCGCCCCAGAGAAAAATTTCAAGTAAGATAAGATACCAGGAACATGGAAAAAATGTTTAAAAAAACCTATCTGTCACAATTTATTTATTCACACTTAACATTTTTTATGTCTATTTAATGATACTAATGATCTTGTATAAAACTTATTATTAATTATTTTTTCAACAGAAATAAATAGTCAGAGTGCAAAATTTAAACTCTCATAACTTCGAAATTTTTATACATAAAATTTTTCTAACATTTTTTCCATGTTCCTAGTATCTTACCTTATATAGCATTTTTCTCTGGGGCGCGAGTTCTGACGCCCCTGTATATTTACACACTTACAGTACTAATTTCGATATTCAGAACGTCTCATTCGAAGGTAGTGTAGGTTTCTAATATCTGATTTACTTGACTAAGGTAAATATTACTGTTATCACTAAAAACGTTTCCTTATAAGGGTTTTAAGAATTTTAATTCAATATGTATTGTTGTAAAAACTATAATATATTTAAAAAAGATTTGCTGAAGAAATAAACAAAAAAAAAAAGAATACATTTTTTGGTGGTGCTACATGTTTGAGTTTTAAAAAACAATTTTATGAAATAATTCCTAGATACTTCGATACTTTTAGTTGGTTTTTACATACTACGTACAGGTATCTTACTTATTCCTTAACAAATCGCAATGTAAAGTACTCATTACGTTATCTTTAACTTTTAATATCATATTTCATTGTGAGTCCACTTAAGTACATTTAATCTGTATATGTTAGTAAAAGCAATTAAAAAACATATAAAGCAAAAGTAATTAATGACTTATTTTATCTTTCTCCAGTTTAAAACTCTGTGCGCCATCTGTTAGCCACTAGGCTTACTATTGAAAGACCTTGGTTTCAGTTTCTTTAAATTGAATCTACAAAGCGTGGTTTGTAGTCGTACTATACACTTCAATAAAGCGCATGCTGTACTTGAACCCGCCTATTTTACTCCCACTATCACTAGTTGTCATGGTTACAATTATTAATAGCAGGTTTACCATTGGCTATTTAAGGATGATACCATACTTTTAATATGGCAACGGGTATGATCTAAAAGTTAGTCGCATAACGAACGCATTATTTCAATGATCTTATCAAATGAGGTTAAATTCTACCAAATTTTAATATATCGAAAAATTATAACACTTGAATGACATATAATACGTACAAACAAAAAAGTTTGTACAGTTGCGGAATTAAAATTTTGGGCAGTACTGTCATTTTCATAATGTAAACTCTAAAACAACCTTTACATTAATAACCTCATTTTTTATTCTTGTCATGTTCATGTCATTTTGACTTAAAAAATAACGTCACTGACAGAAAAGTTTAATTGTCAAATGTCAGTCATGATGACAGTAAAAGGTAGTTTACAGTAAACTTTTTGAAGTGACAGAAAAATACTGCCCGAAATTTTAATTCCATAACTGTACATTAGCAGAAATACTTGATTATTGCACAACAAAAATGAAAATATAATATGCCACAAATAATATGTACAGCCTGTCCCAAGTTTTAGGGCCGGTCGAAAAATAAATATTTTCAATTGATTAAAAAATTTTTTTGCTAGTGCAAACGATAGAGGATTATAGACTTCAATTTAGTATTTTTATATTGTTCAAAATTTTTAGCGTATGTCAGTGAAACCCTAAAAACTAAAATTGTAAAAAGAAAATTTGTTTATTGGAATTTTTTCTACATGATACAATTCCTTGATTTTTTCTAATAGTAAATTGAATAATGTAAAAGTTGATAGATTTTGAGTACCTAATTAATATTGAAAATTCGGAATTCTGGTAATTTATGACCAAATTTGGGATGATGTGCTGCTAATTTCACAATAGAGCTCAGGTACGTCATAAATGTCATTGCGACCCTTTATCTTTTGTTAAGAAATTTTGGCCTGATCACCAATTACCACAAACCCAACCATAAATTATTGAAACTTTCAGATTTTCAATATTAAGATGTTAATTACTCAAAACCTATCAACTTTTGCATTATTCTTTTTTCACAATTATTACTTGAAAAAATTAAGGAATTTTTTCATGTAGAAATTAATCCAATAAAGTAATTTTTTTTCAAATTTGGTTTTTATGATCTCACTACCATTCGTTAAAAATTTTGAACTATATCAAAGTACTAAATTGAAGTCTGTATAATCCTCTATCGTTTGCACTAGCAAAATTTTTTTTCAATCAATTTGGAATACCTAATAGGAGCACCTGCACAAAAAACCGGGCTCTCCAACGACCAAAGTCATGAAACGACCCCCTCGTTCAAGTTCGGAAAATTTTCGTGATGGGCTCGGAACGCAGCATTAACAATTTATTAAAAAAAGGACTGACTAAAAACAATTCTGTTTAATGAGAGGTCATTTTTAGATCATAATCTTCAATTAAAAAAAATATCATGGTGGGTTAAAAAAAATTCTGTATCGTCCGCCACTGGACACATAACACAGATATTCCAATTCCATAGATATACAGGGTGCGCCAGAACTCGCGCCCCAGAGAAAAATTTCAAGTAAGAAAAGATACCAGGAACATGGAAAAAATGTTTCAAAAATTCTATCTGTCAAAAAATTTTGACATTTATTTTTTTTACATTTGACATTTTTTTATGTCTATTTAATGATACTGATGATCTTGTATATGATTTTTTACAATTATTTAGTAAAAGTACAAAAATTTTGCCAATAAAAGCCACAAACAACATTGAACAGAATTACAATTTAGGATACAGCTTCTTTGTTTCCTTTTCTAATAGCCTATAGCAAAAAAACTTGAAAAATTATTGTTCCAACAGAAATAAGTAGAGTCAAAGTGCAAAATTCAAACTCTCATAACTTCGAAATTTTTATAGATAAATTTTTTTTAAAACATTTCTTACCTTATATGGCATTTTTCTCTGGGGCGCGAGTTCTGGCGCACCTGTATATTTACATTCTTAAGAATCAATAACATAAGAAAATTATATTTGTCAAGTGTCAATTTGACAAATATACAGTTCATTCAATTACAATTTTAAGAGTAAAAACAAATAGCAAGAAATTTGTTTAGGTATCTCATTCCACTTTATATTTGCAGTTTTTAAGAGTTAAAATCGGTATTTCATTTATTTTTTATTCCCGAGGAAATAAAATACTACATTGTTAGTAAAAAACGAGAGAATAATGCGTCACTTTATTCTCTGTTAGGAGACTTATATAATTTAATTATGGTTTAGGATGTGAGAATTTTTCTATTAAAAAAATTAATTTCTTCATGTAAGAAAATTAATTTAATTTTTACAATTTCTAATTTAATGTACATTTTATTATCATTTAAATTAATAAGTAATAAATATTGATACAGATTTAATTATTAGGTATAGATCGTAAAATAAATACTTGGATTTTTCCTATTTCTAACAACGAGGCTCAAAAACAACATCGCCTAAATTTTTCAAACATGAACTAACATAATTCAGAATTAGGGCAGAATAATTCTCTATTTCTTGAACAGCCATATCTCTACAAGGAAAACTCATCCCTGTTACTCTATTTAACATCTCAACCGTGATTATTTTCGATGTATTTTGCATATTTGATTTAGCAAACTCTATAAACCCTATTACACTATCAGCACAAGTCGCATTTTCATAATTACATTGCCATAAACTCTCTTTGTTGCAGTTATAATGAAAATCGTAATCGTACAAAATCTTACTCCATGTTGAATGCAACATACCGTTTCCTGCCATAATTAAATGATCACTGCATTCTTTTAACTTTTTCTCTAATTCTTCACCAAATGTTTCCAAATTTTTTTCAGTAACATTTTGACAATAATCAATATTATCAACAATGGACTCAACGTTTGCTGTCAAAGTTTTAATTTTGTCGGAAACAGATGCAATTTGATTTCTGATTTCTTGTGTAGCTGAAACTTCTAATTCATGTACATTATCATGGAGAATAGCAGACTGTTTATCCGTTGTTGCACGAAGATCACGCTGAATCTCCAAACTGAAATCATTCAATTCTTGTAAAGCTTTTTCAGCATCTTCAATACTGCTTCCAAATGCTCCCTGAAATTTATAAGTAAAGTAAAACTTTTGTCAAAATGAAAACACAATAATACCTGTATTATAAGTACAGAGAAAAACACACACAGAATTGTCATCTTGTATAAGGTGCAGTAAAATAAATGCTTGTTGAATGATAAATCCTGTAGTATTTATATCATATTTATAAAGTTGATAATTGATCTTTGATTGCATTTGTTTGTAAGTGTGTCAAAATTATTAATAAAAATGGATATGATTTTAATCTAAGTGCATTGTTAATATAAATTATCGTAATCTTAATCTAAATGAATGCTGTTTTCAAATCAAACTTTTCCTCAAATCGTGTTATTATAATAAAAAATTAGAACATATTAATAATGTTATCGAAATTTGATCACAATCTTCTTACTATAAAATGTTGTCAATTTTAAATCTTTTTTAGTTCTCTAAAAACTGATATTAAACAAATATGTTTTCCAGACTCTTGCTACTTTTTTACATTTGCCTTTTTACAGTAAGTAAAAGTTTTTTTTTATACAAAGTGTTTCAAATGTATAATTTTACGAGACTTGTGCCTATAAAATGCAATCAGTACAAATTTGATTAAAAATACCTATTGATAAATTGAAGTCTTCTTTAGTTTGTACACTCTTCAAATAAGTGGCAGTAATTAATGTCAACATTTTTAGTAACTGAAGTAGATCTTCACTCTTTCATTGTTTGAATTGATAAAAATAAATTTAAGATTTATTAAATAATAATTACTTATTGCCAATCAGAGGCAAAGATTTTTCAAAAATAGGTAAGATAATTAAAAGTACCTACCGACCTCAAAGTCTCAAAAAACAAAAAGGGCATGCGTCATTAAAAAATGGTTCTTGACAGGGCTGTACCCAAGGGGGGGATTAGGGGGTTCAAATCCCCCCCGAAATGCTGAGCACTTTGTTATATAGTGTTATAAGTGTTAAAAATTTAGTTTTTTTGTTATTTTAGTGAGTTAATTTTAAATTTTTGTGAATTAATTTTTCATGTGTTAATTATACAGTGTTTCATTTTTATTGTTAGATACAAATTTAAATAGTTGATAGAATATTTAATTTTAAGACAAAAGTGTTTCGAAAAATGCTATGAAAAGGAGCTACACCCCCTAAAAAAGGTACGTTTTTTAAAGGGTTTTTCCTAATATTTCAGAATAGATAAAATTACAAAATTTGGTACCTTTATATGTACACCTAAACAAATGCCAAATAACAAAATTTTTAATCAAAGGCATCCTAAACGGTAAAACAAATTTAATTTTTAATTTTTATGCTGTTTATGGTCTGTAACATAAATTTTTAAACCGATTTTTACTAAATATTCGTAAATTGTATCGGAAAAACACAAAAGGCTCTTTTTTATGAAAAACTATGAAATTTTGTTGCTGAAAGTGGCAAGAAACCACAGGCAATATAGTTAGAGTAATTTTTTACCCTAATCCTATCTAGTTTGATTTCAACATTTTATTTTTGTACTTGTTTAGGTGTATAAAAGTTATCATCTGTACCAAACCTTGAAATGTTTTTCTAAAATGATTTCGGAAATATGAAAAAAAAACCTATTAAAAGACGCACCCCTTGCGTAGCATTTTTCGATATATGTTCATAGAAAATTTTTGTTTTAAAAATGAATATTCTCTCCTATCTCCTATTTAAATTTGTAACAATAAAAATATTAAAAAATAATTTTATTTTTTGTTGCTTTTGTGAATTAATTTGTATTTTTTTATGTTTAAGTAGGATCTCTTATTTCAATTTAAAATAAAAACGTGCACTTAGAGATTTTTGCTTTTTAATCGGCCTTCTTTCATTACATTTTCATAGACCAACAAGAACCCCTCCCAATAAAATCCTGGTTACGGCCTTGGTTCTTGATATCATATCTCAACCTAAAATGGATCAAAAAAAATATAATTGAAAACAAAAACAATACTTAATTAAAAGACACAATCACTTGTTCAAGGATTTTATTTCATCAACAAAATATCAATGTTATTACAGACTTAACCCTGAGGTATTTGGTTGGAGGTAGGTATGTTACCTACCTACGAGTACATACAGTTCAGAACTCGCGCCCCAAAGAGAAATTCCAAGTAAAATAAAATACCATCAGGAACATGAGAAAAATGTTTAGAAAATTTTATCTGTCAAAAAATTTTGACACATATTTCTTTACATTTGACTTTGTTTTATGTTTATTTAATAAATACCGTGCGATCAAAAAAAATAAATTAGAGTAGGCGGTGATTAAAGTCCTTCAGGTGGCAATCCTGATTTTTGACATCAAATGTCAGCGGAAACTGACAAGTTTGCATTTTATTCATTTTGAGTGAAATAATATACACTTTAGAGCAGAAAATTTGTATTGTTGCTATTGTTATTGTTGTTATTACAACTATAATACAAGAAGAAAACGGTGAATGGTCATTTTCACTTTCAGTTTGTGCGGAAAATTTCCAGCCCAGATTCCCAGCCAACGTGTTGCCAACTGTAGGGTATTAATCGTCGCCTACTCTAATTTTTTTTTGATCGCACAGTGTATATTACTGTTGATCTTGTATATGTATTTTCATTATTATTTAGTAAAGGTACAAAATTTTTACCAATAAAAGCCAGAAATACGTTAAACATAGTTACAATTCAAAATACAGTTGCTCTGTTTCCTCTTCTACTTAATAGCATGTAGAAAAAAAACTTGAAAAATTATTTTTCTAATTTCAAAATGTGTATTCAGGGTGTTCCGTTTTTATTGTTACAGTTACAGATTTAAACAGGTGATAGAATATTTAATTTTAAGACAAAAGTTTTCTATAGGTAAATTTGTATCAAAAAATGTTATGTAAAAGAGCTACATCCCCTGAAATGGATGCATTTTGTAACGGAGGTTTCCCACTGTTACAGAATAGATAAAAGTTGGTAGAGCTGATAACCTTTAAACACCTGAACGAATTCAAAGATCAGTTGTCGAAATTTTTAATCACGGGCGTCTTAAACGGTGAAACAAATTTAATTTTTAATTTTTATCCTCTTTATGGTCTGTAAGACAAATTGTAAACTGATTTTATTCAAAAACGATAAGTTGTATCGAAAAAACGCAAGAGACCTCTTTTTTGGGAAAAACTATGGAATTTAAAATTTTGTGGCTGAAAGTGGCAATAGCCAAAATAGTTAGGGTACTTTTTACCCTAAACCCTCACTGTTTAGGACGCCCCTGAGTAAAAATTTTGACATTTTATCTCTAAATTCGTTTGAGTGTATAAAAGTTACCAGTTGTACCAAATTTTATTTACAATGGTTTCTGAAATATTGGAAAAAATCCATTAAAAATGCACCTCTTTCAGAGGATGTAGCTCTCTTATATAATATTTTTCAGTACAAGTGCATATAAAACTTTTAACTTAAAATTGAATATCCTATCACCTGTTTAAATTTGTAACAATAAAAACGAAACACCCTGTAGATAAACATTTTTAAACATTTTTTCCCATGTTCCTGATATCTTACCTTACCTCTGAGACACGAGTTCTGAAACACCAGAAAGCGCCAGAACTCGCGCCCCAGAGAAAAATTTCAAGTAAGATAAGATAATTTTTTATAATTATTTAGTAAAGGTACTAAAATTTTGCCAATAAAAGCCACAAATAATAATAGAGTTGCAATTTAGGATACAGCTTCCTTCTTTCCTCTTCTAACAGCCTGTAGCAAAAAAACTTGGAAATTATTTTTCCAACAGAAATAAATAGAGTCAAAGTGCAAAATTTAAGCTCTCATAACTTCGAAACTTTTATAGAAAGAATTTTTTTAACATTTTTTTCATGCTCTTGGTATCCTTTACATGACATTTTTCTCTGGGGTGCGAGTTCTGGCAGATCCTATATATTTTAAAACTCATAAAATTATATGAAACACTTTGTTGTCCTTTTCTATACTTATTTCAATAATTTCATTTATAGGTGGTAGCAGGAGATTCACAATCACTTAGGACCGCTGAAGATGATGCAGTCGCAGCTTTTCAAAAATTCCAGAAAGTCGCATTCAGTAGACAAAACGGTGCTGTCAACCTCATAGAGAAATATTATTCGCGTGAACTTGATCTAATGCATTATATGCAAAGTAACATAACTAACACCGTTAATAGAAAATTAGATAGTACAAAATTTTACATACAAGCCGCTCAAGAAAGTGTAAACAGGTTAAACGTAACTACTTGCAATTATGATTACTCCAGTGTAATTGAAGGAATGCGTACTAAACTTATTGACAGAACAACTGAATGCGTTACTTTGTATCGAGATGTTTACTGGAGTTTATACAATAGTACCGTCATGGAAGCCAATGGACTTTTTAATAATATGATGGGCTGTCAAGCACGAAGTAGAGGACAGTGCCAAGCACTTCATAAAAATGATGATTGTTTTTATTTTTATATTTCAAATGCCCAAAAAGCTGAAGATGTAATTACAGATGCTTATAATCTTATGACTGCTAATTATGTAAATAAGATTAATGATATTGTTCCAACATGTGTAGATTTGATTAATATTGAAATTTCGCTTTGGCCTGATTACTATTTGCACACAGTTACTGAATGTGCTGAGAATGAGCTTAGAAATTTAAAAAAATCAGTTTGTCCTTATGATATGTCTTTAAATAAATAAATACGGTAGAGATTGCATTAAAAAATATTGTAACAACAAAAGCAAAATAAAATTCTGCTACAATTATGAGTGAATTTTAATAAGTATGTATTCCATCTTGGATTACTTTTTTGGATCACGCAGTATATAACTCTTTTTAATCTAATCTAATTCTTCAGAATACTATTTAACACTTTTAAATCAAAGATATGCTCATCACAAAATATTTATAATTGCGTAAAAACAAGTTTTTATAGCGCAAGCGACAGAATTTTTCAATACACTTCAATTTGATGATTTAATCTTATTTTAAAAATTCATACCGTGAGTAACTAGCAAAAATCGAAAAACCAAATTTCAAAAATAGAAAAACATTTCGTTAAAAAAAAAACATATCTTTATTTTGGTTTAATTTTAACAAAACATAATAATAGAAATAATAAACGAAACAAAAAGTAATTAGAAATCGCCTGGAACTGATAAATCGCGAACATACAGATTTAACATGGTATACAAATATTGTATATTTTTGCTGGTTCCTACAATGGTGATGGTATCATGGTTGTACCTTCTATCATAAGATAAAATTATTTCGCGTCAAATAATTCAAAAAATAAGAATAAAAATAACATTTTTATTTAAAATACAATTTTCAACTATCAATACGTGAAATAAGTAATTTTTAAAAAATTTAGTTAGTTCCTAATTCTGTAGAAAATCTAGATGTAATCGAAATACTACTAAATACTACTTCTAAATACATGAAACAAATTGTACAATTAAAACATCTCTCAGAAATTTTTCATAAGTCGGCCTGTGTTATCTAATTGTGAAATTTTTTCTATTCATAATAAAACAATTGCTAAACATACAATGTTTTGATTTGCGAAATAAACATAAAAAGATAAAAAATCATAGTTAGCGATGTTAAAAAGTACTTTTATCAACTAATTTCAGCAGATAAAGTAGTCTTTTATCGACTACTGAAATAAAGTAATTTTTATCCACATTATATTCAAGAAATTCTGGTAGGTGAGTACAAAATAAAACGAAATTTATACACGACGATAATTTCAAAGACATACCTACTTAATTTTTCAAAACTAAATGTATGTTAGAAATTAGTCTTTAACCTAGCAGGGCTGAACCCCAAAAAGTACAAATTTTAATCGAAATTTTTTTATCTTTTAGGTACAAGAGTAATTTCACTTATCCGGGGACACACTGTATGTTTGCCCAAAACAAACTAAGTCAAAAAAAAAACTATGTTGAAATCCAATAAAACCGAAACATTGATGTCATTAAAACATCATAAATAAAAGCCCGGTGTTTTTTAAGTCAATCAAACAGAATACAATGTGGGTCTATCATCCCTGAATACTAATTTCGTTTCTGTAAATGAGTATAAAAGCAAGTTGGGACTTTGCATTAATCAATAGTAACTTGTAAAATGCGTCGTTACCAAATTCTGTTAATTGTAATTTTTTTCAATGTTTTACTCGATTCAACACTTGCAGAAAATTACGTTTTAAAAGCTGCCAAAAATGTGCCCAGAATAGGTCGCAGCAATACAAACAAGAATACAAACATTGATGAAATGGGAAAATTTTTCATGAAAGCATCCAAATCTGTTCCTAGAATTGGTCGGAGAAATGAGGTATTTTTTATTTTATACTTTTCGCCTATAAAAGTTTTTACCATTTCAGAATTTTAATTACGGACAGCCTATCGCTAAAAGAGATGAAAGTGAGTTTGTTGTTTGGCCATTATTTTTACATTATTGTAACATTTTAGTACCAATTTGGTCTGATATAGCAGATCGGTTTGAGTATGAACCGGAGATTTTAACTTCACCCGAAATTTTGGAACAATTGGAAATAGGAGATGATCCATCGGTTTATGACTATGAAAAAATTCGAACCAAACGAGAGGATTTTAAAAAGCATCCAAAATTCTATCATTTGATGTAGTTTCTAATTTATTCCATGATAACCTGCTTACTGTTTTTAATGGTGAAAAGAAATAAAGATTAAATTTTTTAATTTTATTCATGTAGTGGATTGTTAACAAAAATGAAGCTTGTATTTATCTATATGTAGTTGGTGTGTAGGTAAATGCTAATAATGATTATTAGGTGACATTATTATTGTTAATCTTAATAAAGCTTGAAAATATACTTTATTTGAAGAAATACATACCTACAGTTTCAAGTGCATAAAAATAAAAATGAAGTAAACTATAATGAGTTTAGGTTGTAATTTCACGAATATTAAAAAAAAGTTAAAATATCAATACCTAATTTATGTAAAATTTTTATATTTTTAATTCTTGTAGTAACAAAAAATACGTAAAAAAATCGGTAAAAGTCACAAAAAATCGAGTAAAAAATTGCTAGCAAGCACAAAATTTTAAGAAAAAACCACTTGTGGCCTTTGTTAAAAATTTAGGCTAGTGTATTATACAGGATGTTCTATCTAAACCCCACATTAAAATTATTGGGAGTTTGAATAAGCATATTTATTTGAAAATTGGTACATACCCATAATCGATTAAGTCCTCCTAAATGAAAATATTTACAAGATGGCGGCACTTCCGGTTATACCGGAAGTCGGTCTTAACTTTCTTATTTTAAATGAAAAGCTATATTTTTTACTGCGTTTTTAGATTAATCGGGTTATTTCAAGGGAGTTTTCATCAGCTTTCCCTATACCTAAATTTAGCCGATTTTGGAATATTTGGAGTTTTTCAAAAAATTTTAGATCTGCCCCTTATACTTTAAAAATCGGTAACTGTGCCATTTTTTAAGATTTTGAATTTGTTTTTTTGGGGTTTGAAAGGGAAAGCTTAGATCCTTTTTCTGGTGTTTTCAAATTTTGAAAAAAAATAACATATCCCAAAATTTTAAGGTAACTTTTGTAATAATTCAAATACTCATATCTCAATTTTTCCAAATAAAATACCCCAATTTTTATTTTACTAAATGGAAGAGAATTTAATTGTGCATCGATCTGTATTAACATTCCCTATACCCAAATCTAATAATTTTCAAGTTGGTAACTTTTTGTTAACACTAGCGAAAATTTATTACTACCTACACCTGTTTTCGCATAGTTTGCTATAGAAATCAAAAATGTCAAAATTTTCTCTAAACAAACGTCAACGTCAAGTAAATTATTATTTGACAAATAGTGCCAAAATATAGAGAATGAATGTTACTCAAACTTAATTATTATTAATTAATTCAGATTTATAATTAAGTAGGCGAGTTTTTTTTCTTTATGATTGATAAACTAGTGGAAACTGAAGGAAAAAATGTACTCTAATTAAATATTACCGTTCAAAATCTGATTATTTGATTCTTCAACTTAGTCTAATTATCAATTCAAATGATCGCATGATATTAGTTCTATTAATTATCAAGTAGCCAGTATTATTTATTATTTTTATTTGTTTAATAAACTACATTATCATAATTTTGTTACACTCTTCATAAATACAAAATAAATTCATTAAATCTTAAATTTGAGTAGCTTTAATTCTCAATATTTTGACACTATTTGTCAAATAATAAATAATTCACTGTCGACATTTATTGAGAAACAATTTTGAAGTTTTTGATTTCCATAGCAAACTATGCAAAAACGGGTGTGGGTAGTAATAGATTTTCCGCAATCTTAACAAAAAGTCACCATAACTTGACAATTATTAAATTTTGGTTGATATAGATTGATGCAGAATTAAATTCTCTTCCATTTAGTGAAATAAAAATTATTTGAAAAAAATGAGTTATGGGTATTTAAATTATTGCAAAAGAAACCTTAAAATTTTGGGGTTTGTTAGATTTTTTTTCAAAATTTGAAAATACCTGAAGAAAGATCTAAGCTTTCTCTTTAAAACGCCAAAAAAACCGAATTCAACATTTTAAGAAATTGCAGATTTGCCGATTTTTAAAGTGGAAGGTACAAATCCAAAAATTTTTGAAAAACTCCGAATATTTCAAAAACGGCTAAATTTAGGTATAGGGAAAGCTGATAAAAAAATCCCTTAAAATAACCCGATTAATCCAAAAACGCAGAAAAAAATAGAGCTTTCCATTAAAAATAAGAAAGTTGAGACAGACTTTTTGAAATATTTTCATGGCTATGTACCAACTTTCAAATAAATACGATTACTCGAACTCCCAATACTTCTAATGTGAGGTTTAGACGGAACAGCCTGTATGGTTAAAAATTTAGGTATCAGAAGCTTAATAAGTTAAAAAAAAGTTTTAATTGTTTGTGGTAACAATAAATAGAACTAAAAATCGTTTGTGAGACCAAAAATTGAGTAAAAAATCATCTGCAAGCTCAAAATTTGAGCAAAAAGTTGCATGTGATGACAAAAAAGTGCATCTCTATAAGTAACGAGGACGGAAAGTCATTAGAAACTTGAGTGAGACACTAAATAAAATTAAAAAAAAATATTTCAATGAATAGAATTATTAGAATTAAATACATTGAATCAAATAGCAAACACATCTACTAGTTGTAGTATACGCCACCAGTAAAACAAATGGACATTCGTGTGTGATTACGTGGAAATAAAGGGGACGCGCGTACATCTAAAAACTTTCTTACCTAAAACCGTTCAACACTAAAAAGATTCAAACTAAAATGGGTCACACCTAAAATAATTCAGTACTATAACCGTTCATTATTAAAACGTTCAGCATTATAACAATTCACAATTAAAACCGAATTTTACTAAAATAATTCATTTTAAAAAAACTATATACCAAAACGTTGCAAAGCTAAAAAGGTAAATCACTATAACCTTTCATCACTATAATTGGTCATAACTATAACTGGTCAAACTAAAATAATAGTTTAAGCAGCAACTCACAGATGTCGCCGTAGTTAGTAGTGTTGTTTGRAATGCGTGCATAATACCGAAATTTCGAAATACCGAATTCCATAATACCGACAATTTGTTGTAATATAGCAACACTGAATCACTGGATCAGTGTATTATTATTATTATTATTATTATTATTATTATTATTATACATACAGGTGCGCCAGAACTCGCGCCCCAGAGAAAAATGCCATATAAGGTAAGATGGAAAAAATGTTAAAAAAATTCTATCTAGAAAAATTTCGAGGTTATGACAGTATAAATTTTGCAATTTGACTCTATTTATTTCTGTTGAAAAAATAATTTTCCAAGTTTTTTTGCTACAGGCTATTAGAAGAGGAAACAAGGAAGCTATAGGCTAAATTGTAACTCTGTTCAATATTATTTGTGGCTTTTATTGGCAAAATTTTTGTACCTTTACTAAATAATTGTAAAAAAAAACATATACAAAATCATCAGTATCATTAAATAGACAGAAAAATGTCAAATGTCAAAAAATAAATGTCAAAATTTTTTGACAGATAGAATGTAGGTATAGGGAAAGCTGATAAAAACTCCCTTAAAATAACCCGATTGATCCAAAAACGTAGTAAAAAATATAGCTTTTCATTTAAAATAAGAAAGTTGAGACCGACTTCCGGTATAACTGGAAGTGCCGCCATCTTGAAAATATTTTCATTTAGGAGGACTTAATGGTTTATGGCTATGTACCAATTTTCAAATAAATACGATTGTTCCAACTCCCAAAGTGGGGTTTAGGCGGAACATTCTGTATATATATACAGTCGAACAAAATGAAAATGACGCCTCAATCAACCAGCCTCTGCTGGATGCCGACCCTTCTAACCGCAGGGTCGTAAATTATCGGATTTGCAAACTTGACGTAGTGTCAAGACAAATTCCTTTACAGGTTTACAGAAAACGAAATGAAAATTTAAATCAGAATTAAACTAATTCGAATTAAGTGGCCATTTATTTTGCATTGACAAAGGTCAAGTTAAATGAAAATGTAATTTTTTGAATGAAAAATTTAACAAACCTTTTCTTGAAGAAAATTGTGCATTAATTAAACATTGACGAAAAAACAAATCATTATTTTATAATTTTTTTAACTGTTTTTCAAAATAAAATTATTTTATAAATCAATTAAAATACAAAGTGATCCACAATGACTGAATATGTTGGCAATCCTGACAGTTTATCAAAAAAATATATTACATTAATAATAATTTGTTTTCTTGTAAATTGTGTATTTATAAAAGTAAACATTTTTATTTAATTTAAAAGTATTACAATTATCAAAAAATAAATTTTGTAGCAGAACTAAAATATTTGAAATAATTTTACCGTTTTTTTCTTAGTATAATTAAATAAATAATTTTGATTTGTTTTCAATAACAAATACAAAACTAATAGAAAACTTAGGGCCGGTTTACAGAACGTGTTAATCGCAATTATATTTTAATTCGCGATTAACTCGACGTTTGTCAATGCAAAATAAATGGCAACTTAATTCGAATTAGTTTAATTCTGAATTAAATTTTCATTTCGCTTTCTGTAAACCGGTTCCTAAAGGAATTTATCTTGAAACTACGTCAAATTTGCAATTCGATAATTTACGACCCTGCCTGCTTGCGGTTAGAAGGGTCGGGCAACCAGCAGGGGCTTTTTTATTGAGGCGTCATTTTCATTTTGTTCGACTGTACATATATTGTAGTATTATAAATAGTTATAATTTTTTTAAGTATTTGTAATGATATTGAAAAATGTCTATTTATTTGAGTTTTAAATTAAGTTATTGTTTAGAATATTTTTATAAGGCAGGAATCTATCTGTTTAATTTATTTTGTTCTAATAATTAATTTTTGTTTACTTGTAGTATACTTTTTGTGATAGGAATTCAGATAAATTATACTCTTATGAACAGTAGTCAAAGCTTTTTGACACTTTGAGCTGGATAAGCGTTGTTACAACGGGAAATGTGTGTTTCATATATTGTCTAATTGTGAAAGAATTACTTTGTTTGAATAATAAAAGAACGAAATAATTTGTAGTAACTCTGAACATTTATTTTAACGATCTACTAAGTAGTTGTTCGGTTGTTCAAAAGAACAATCAAATGCCGTATATTGTATTCAGTACTTACTATTGCAGGAAAAAAACAAATATTTTTTTAATTTTCTGATTACAACGCTATATTAAATAATCGAAGTATGTATATCTACTTTATATCTCCAGTTAAACGAACCGTCGAATAAATGTTTCTATTTCCACTCAGTTTTTGAGGAAACGACTGATCAAGTGAGAGAATTAAAGAAAAATGACCTGTTTTGTGGTTAGATTGCCAGTTTACACCTTTTGAAACTTTCTTCGATTAAAAAAATAGAAATGACTTGAAATGGGGTTTCTACTTTTATTCGCGGTGGCAGACTCAGTGTTGCTATATTACAACAAATTGTCTTGTCAAATAAAAACAAATTTTGTTATTTCGGTATTATGGAATTCGGTATTTCGAAATTTCGGTATTATGCATACATTCCAAACAACACTACTAATTACGGCGACATCTGTGAGTTGCTGCTTAAACTATTATTTTAGTTTGACCAGTTATAGTCATGACCAATTATAGTGATGAAAGGTTATAGTGATCTCCGTTTTTAGCTTTGCAACGTTTTGGAATATAGTTTTTTATAAATGAATTATTTTAGTAAAATTTGTTTTTAATTGTGAATTGTTATAATGCTGAATGTTTTTAAGAATGAACGATTATAGCATTGAATTATTTTAGGAGTGACCCATTTTAGTTTGCAACTTTTTAGTTTTGAATGGTTTTAGGGACGCACTATTTTAGTGTTGCCACGGACCTCGAAATAAAGGTTGGTAATACCAGGAGAATTCTCGTTATGGTATGTTCGCGCGTTCCTATATTCTCGTCTGTACAACAGGACAACAGACTTCAAAAAATATAACCTCAATTTCGGGAAGAAATTCCATTTTCAGTATTATGTTATGAAATTTAGGTGATTAAATTACATAAAGTAAGTTTATGTTTTAAAAGACTTATCCTGATTTTTCAGATTTGTTTTAAGAGAGATGTCTGAAACAGAGAACCGATTAAAAGAGGAGACTAAAGTGGAATACATTCCCCCAATATTTTCACTCCATAAATTTGATGGTACAATTTCCGACCGAAAAATAATATACCAGGTGTTGAAAATGATCGATTCTCTTCTAATTTTTATCAATGACAAAGACAATATGCAACTTAGCAGCATGTTTTTGGCATTACCGAACCGCTATGATAACCTCCCTGTGGGTACACGTTTGTTTGGGGATTTTATGGAAGAAGAAACATCGAAAGGTATAGCTTTAAGAATAACAAAAAAAATAAATAAAACTGTATTTGTGAGTTGTAATATTGAGGCAGATAGGACTGTGTTGCCTTTAATAGAAAAAAGAATTTTTGAAGAGATTAAGGAAAAGCCTGAAATGTTCTAATGTTATTTTGAATAAAGCTTAATATTTTTCACACATTTATTTTTCAATTACTAATACAAAATTAGTATAATTCTATGATCATGTGTTATAATAAATATCTCTGATACTCATAATTATAACTTTATATGTTGTCAATATTATGTAGATACTGGTGCTAATCTAAAAATTTGAAAGTTGCCAATTCCACAAAGTTAGAAAATAATCAACGCCTAATTCCTAAAAATTCGTCAAACAAATGAACCGATGTTTACCAGTATTGTCTTTAAAAATCCAAACAGAATCAATATTTACATATATTTACAACAATGGCAGTTGTGAGCTATATTTTCATAACGAATATTCGCAAAGAAACCTCTAAATCCATCACTTCTGCACGAAACAACTAAATAACGAACAGCAAATATGATAATGTAGATTGAATACGCTTCTGGGAATTCGTGATTCTTCTTCTAATTTGACTTCTAGTTACTTCCTGGGTGAAAATCTAGGATTGACTGGCATGTGAGTGAAACTGCGCAGCTCGTAGCTCATGTCAATGCCGTGCGCTGTGGCTGTGTCCATGTCACTTTTACGGAAAATAATCATCCGTATGTCGCTGTGCAAATAAATCTTTCCAGACTTGGAACTGATGAACCTGCACAAAAGCGCCTATAGCAAGCAACCTCCCCAACTTCGTCTAAATTTACCGCAAATGTATGAGATAACGCAGCCATTTGGGCCCCCATTCCGCGTTCTCCTCCTTGTAATTCGTCGGCATGTAGAGCGTCCTCTGACGGATGAATGTCTGGGAATTGGGCGGCATATCGCTGAGGTCGTACATAATAACAAACATCTTTACAACGGTTCCCAAAGGATTGAACAGCGTCACTTGAACGGTTCCTGTCTTTGGGACGTTGTAGCCCTTTTTGCCTAAATTAATGTGACCCTGAAAAGTGCGAATTTTGATTTAAGTCAAATGCGAGATGATGGAGTCTACCAGGTATGGAGACGAAACTTTGTCGTTATCACCCAAAGTGTAAAAAAATACAGTAACAGGAACAACTAGATGTTTAGGAACGAAAGAACCACTGGCCCCCAATTCAGCGGTGAAGCCATGGACGGTTGACACTGGCTCGAGACGGCCGTTTAAAACCGATTCTTCGAAACTCCCTGGAACAATATGATAATTTAGTTTGGGGATCCATGGCTCCTGTGCACACATCCCACTTAAATATTCGGCTTAAGAGGGGGCAGTGGCGTTATAATGATCAAGTGACGACTTTTTTTTAAATGTTACAAAGACAAAACTTTAGGTTTAAAAATATCTGCTTATGTAAATAGTGGTTCAAACTCTTGGGAACGAGTTTCATATACTTTTAATTCAGATGATTTTTTTTATCTGATACACTTATTGTAATCTGAAAATTTTATTTCGATCAATTTTTACAAGTATGAGAACACTGTTATAATTGTCAGTCTTGCTAAAAAGAAAAAAAAAAAAGGAACGAAAAGTTATAAAACGCTTACAATGGAAGACTGAGATCTTTCGCTAAGGATGTGGTAAATTAAGATATTCATGGGTAGAAAAAGAAGAATTAGCTTATTCCATTTTTAAATGTAGTTTGTCACTGTTTAGCGATTTATTTTTTATACAAGGCTTTCATTTCAAAAGGATCCAGTCTCAGTAACTTTTCACATTGAGTAAATGGATTTTCAAGCTAAAACAGGTCGATTAGGATCCCGAGGGGGAAGTTGAAAACCAACATTAGTTACATTTTAAGTTTCATCCCCTCGTCGCTAGCCACCCCAACTTTAAAATTTTAAATGGCACCCTCTACTTGTTAGAACGTTTTCGGAAAGAGAAAAAATCAGCGTCTCTAAATGTCAAAGAAAATTTGTTTTTGTCGATTTGTTTTTTAGTTAGGGGTGGTTTAATTTTTGAAACTTTTAGTCCTAGTAGCCTTTGATTGAACTCAATTTTATTTAAATAAAAAATATGTCGATTTCAGTTGCGATTGGAGAGTTTAAAACCAACATTAAATACGTTTTAGGTTTCATCCCCTAGTCGCTAGCCACCCCTACTTTAGAATTTTAAATGGCACCCCCTACTTTTTTTTTTCAGAAAGGGAATAAATGAGCGTATCTAACTGTCAAAGAAACATTTTTTTTTCGCCGATTCGTTTTTTAGTTAAGGGTGGTTTAATTTTTGAATTTTTTAGTCCTAGTAGCCTTTGATTCAACTCAATTTAATTTAAATAAAAGTATTTTTTTAACTGACTGAACTGTCAAATGGTAAATTTTCGCTGAATTGTTGACACCACCGCCTTCTTAATAAAATGCATTAGATGACACATAATCAAAATCAAAGTTAAAGGCTACTAGACTGATGGAAATTTCTAAAATAAAACTACCCCTAACTCAAAAACGAATCAACAAAATATTTTTTTTCATTTACGATTAGATAAGGTTTTTTCCACCCCTTCCAAAAATGTTTTAAAAAGTTGGAGGGGCTCTTTAAAATTTTAAAGTAAGGGTGGTTAGTGACTAGAGGATGAAACCTAAAACGTATTTAATGTTGGTTTTGAATTCTCCCATCGCAATCCACATCGACATATTTTTTATTTAAATTAAATTGAGTTCAATCAAAAGCTACTGAAAATTTTAAAAATAAAACCACCCCTAACTGAAAAACAAATCGACAATTTTTTTTTTTTTTTATATTTAAAGACGCTGATTTTTTCTCTTTCCGAAAACGACCTAAAAAGTAGGGGGTGCCATTTAAAATTTTAAAGTAGGGGTGGCTAGCGACTAGGGGATGAAGCTTAAAATGTAACTAATGTTGGTTTTCAACTTCCCCCTCGGGATCCTAATCGACCTGTTTTTGCTTGAAAATACATTTACTCAATGCCAAAAGTTATTGAGACTGGATCCTTTTGAAATAAATAAAAGCCCTGTATATACTAAATTCTAATAACTATAAAAACAACTTCTCTGTTTCTTTTAATTAGTTGTTCGAACTTTTGAAAAAAATGCATTTGTTATATTTTCAGTTGTTTTTTAAAGAAAGAGTTGACAATTTAGTAAACATTTCTACTTAAGAAAATGTTCACGTAAAGCCGTAAACAACTAATTGAATAAGAAAACATAGGATCTTTGCCCATTTAACTCATTCCTAAAGTTGTTGCTAGTCAACTGGAAAAAAATTCTTTTTTGGTTACAGAAAAATACGTATTATGTCTACCTCGTAACAGTTTAAACAAATACTTTAAAAGCAACACATAGGGTGTTTCTTTACTGTTTTAAAAAAATGAAAGAAAAACAATTTTTGGAAAATACTGTACATACTAAAATAGAAATAATATTAAAGTGTTTAAAAAAACAAGGAAATGAATAAATATGCAAATTTATTTTTTTATTAAATACTTTATTGTGTTGTGACAAAAGGCAAAAGTTTTCTGTTAGGCCACAGAGTAGACAAAAATCAAGTTTTTTTTTTAACTTTTTCAATAATCATTGATTGTATCTTGAGATATTTTCAGTTGGGATGAGATAAATTAAAAAAAAATAATTTGAAAAGAACTTAATGTAAACAAAAGAGAAAACATTCTTTTGTCACGGTTTAGGAAAAAAAACACAAATCTTCTGGGGTTGGCACTTTCCATAAAACGCTATATAAGTAAAAATATTTTAAAAATTCGTAAACAAATGATGAATATGTGACAGAAGTACAACACCAACCTAACAAGTTAGCTGCATGCCCTTTTCTTCGATATTTGACGGGTGACAGTTCCCTTTTCGGAACGGCATTTGTTTCAGGACTGCAAGGCGATACAATGCTGCCATCGCTTTCGCTGTCTTCATCTGTTGAAAAACTTGTTGGAAACAAGGCGCTGTGAAAACAATAAAATAAAATCTTTGACAAAAAAAATTAAGATTCCAACCTTTTGATCGCTGAAACTGAATTTATACTGGAATCAAAATCGAAGCAGGACTTTCCTCGCCTAACCGGCGCCGGACTGCTAGTCAATGGTAAACCAGTCCTTGAATGGAATACCATGGAGGCAGCATTGTCGAGATCCTTCCTAAATTTGGCTTGTTCTAAAGCAGAGGGTATGTCTGCTTCGCTCTTGCCATTCTCTTCCTTATCACATATCTCGAAATCGTCGTCGAATGTTAATTTTTTTCGAATTCCCTTTATTGCATGATCGATGTTCACAACATCTCTGATTTTTTTATGTCTCAATTTCGGAATTGGACTATCACAAGTATCTACATTTATGTCATATTTGCTTTTACCCTTAATACTAGAAATATCACTTTCGCTCATATCACAAGAACCAGTATCACTTTCATCCTTCCGTTCGCTTTGAACACAATTTTCATCACATCTTCTATCACCTTCTCGCACACTTCTCTCGTTTGTACTCTTCAGGGCGCTCCGCTCTATCGCGTCCAGCAGGAGCTTACCCTTGTCTTGCACCACCTTGAGATCATTTTTATGGCTGTTGAGGCGGTTCTTCTCGCTCTGGCTCTGGTGGAATTGCCGAGGCCAATCGCTCTTGCAGTAAGTGTTTGCCTTGTGGACATCCACCGTCAACTTTGGCCTGCTCATCGATATAATCAAAAACATTACATATTGTACATGTTATTCCGAGTGTCCGGAAAAAACGTTGAAAGATTTCAGGAGGTGGTTCTCTAGGTCAAAATAGGAAAAACTTGTTTTTCTCGTAAACGGTAGGTCGTACAAAAAAAATAACACAAGAGACATTTTTTGAAGAAAATTAGCCAATAAATCCAAATCTGCCAAAATAATTTCAAAACACTTTTTCCAAAGCAAAGCAAAGCAAAATTTTACGCCTTAAATAGATTGACTCCATTGTCTCCGCCCTAATTAAGGTACACAATTCTTGATATCACTAATAGATTCAGCACCAAAAAATTACCCCAGATGCAATCTTTTGTAAATTTGTGTCCATCAGTTACTGAGATAAGAGTAATTCCATGCCAAAACGATCAATTTTAAAACTCATTGTTTCTGATTTAACAGATAATAGAACGTGTAAAAATAAGTGACACGTATTTCACCGTTTTTTATTTTTTCGATGTATGTTGAAAAAACAGGGATGTACAAAATTAAGTACCTCGTAACAAAAAGAATTTTTATCTAAAGAGCAAATCAACATATTGAAACTTTTTTTTTAAATAATAGATATAAGTAGGTACACTACGGACGTGATAATACATGTATTCTAAAAATTTGTTATTAACAAATAATTTAAAAATATATTTTTTAAACGAAAAAATAAACAATTACGCAGGTTTTTAAAATTCTCAAAAAATTCATGTAAAAACTTTCATATTTTTACTACGTCTTCACATAAGTTTCAAGACGGACGTTTGGAAAATGGCTGAAAAAGAAACATTATTTGAGAGTGCATGATCTCCTAAGATCGTCTGAAAGTACTGTTTCCTTGGAAATTAACAAGAAAAATTAAAAAAAATTAAACCAATTACCGTTACTAATAAACTGTTTACAGAAAACACATAATTTTCAATAACTTATTAACATTTATTTTTCAAAAAATAGCAATATACAAATTCCTCGGTTGAGGAAGAGTACTTTCTATATTTTTTTTATTCTATTTTCTGATATTAAAATAATAAGTATATAGATTTCGCGTACCTTTTATGAGCTTCGCTCGACTAAAATGATCATTTAAAAATCGCAAAGTTTTTCAACTTGTCGATTAGATTATACAGGGTGTGTCAAAAGTCCCGGACCAATGTAACATGCCATGTAAGGTAAGATACCAGGAGCATGGAAGAAATGTAAAAAAAATATATCTATAAAAATTTCGAAAGTTATGAGAGTTTAAATTTAGCACTTTGACTTTGTTTCTGTTGGAAAATTAATTTTCCAGGTTTTTTTTGCTACAGGCTATTAGAAAAGGAAACAAGGAAGCTGTATCCTAAATTATAACTCTGTCTAATGTTATTTGTGCCAAAATTATCGTACCTTTATTAAATAATTATAAAAAAACATATAAAGATCATCAATATCATTAAATAAACATAAAAAAATGTCAATTTTCAAAAAATAAATGTAAAATTTTTTTGACAGATTTTTAAAACATTTTTTTCATGTTCCTGGTATCTTACCTTACATGTCACGTTGGTCCGGGAATTTTGACACACCTTGTATAGCCAAACGTAATATGTGAAATATTTACTTAAAAGAAGAATTTTTTTATTATTAGTATTTTTTGAAAAATAAATGTTAAAAAGTTACGGCAAATTATGTGTTTTCTTCAGAACAGTTTATTAGTGACGGCAATTGGTAATTTTTCTATTTAATTTCCAAGTAAACCCTACTTTCAGGCGATCTTAGGGGATCATGCACTAGGTAGCGCTCTCAAAAAAAATGTTTGTTTCAGCCATTTTTAAAACGTCCGTCTTGAAACTTATTTGTATTATCACGTCCGTAGTGTATTTACTTATATCAATTATTAAAAAAAAATCGTTTCAATATGTTGATTTGTTCATTAGATAAAAATTCTTTTTGTCCGAGGTACTTACTTAATTTTTTGTACCTCCCTGTTTTTTCAACATACATTGAAAAAATACAAAACGGTGAAATACGTGTCACTTATTTTTACACGTTCTATAACATATCTCAAATTTACAAAAATCAGAAACAATGAGTTTTAAAATTGATAGTTTTGGCATGGAATTACTCATAATTAAAAAAAGCCTTTTGCCCTCCATCTTCTAGTTCCCTCAGAAAGTATTTCCGGACATAGGTCTAGGTATAGGAACTTTTTTTTCTTATTTCGACCCATCGAAATTTTTTAACGTTTTTGCCCGACACCGGTATTACCTACATTTTGTGGAATTTTTTAATAATTAATAACACAAAACCGTTTTTGCAATGTCACGGAACTTTTTTCAAGGTTTAAAATTGTCAAATTGTTAGATACACGTACAGAATGTGTTATCTTTTCAATATATTTCTTATAAGAGTCCTTACCTGGAAGTGGATGGATAATGCTTTTTTCCATTCTGGCAGAGCCTCTTAATCGCAACTTCCCTATTACTTTTAACATTTTCCACTTCTTCAAAATCTTCACATCGGTGTTTTCCTTTCAGGGTGCACACAGTATGCATGCGGTCGTCCACCAAACTCTCTTGTGCTTCTTCCTTCTCCTTGATCTTCGGCTTGGTAGTGCACTTCTGACACGTAAATCCGGGCAAAGTTGACATTCGTGGTAAGCTTAAGAACGAAACAGTAGCTGTAAAACCGTTTCCGATGTCAGTTAGAGGGAATTCATGTTTAACGGCTGATTGTGAAAACTGCGACGATTCAAATGTTTCTCCCGGCAATGTCAAACGGTAATGGAGGTTCTTATCAGTTATTTTAATTGAACTGTTTTCGTCTTGGACTGTTAGCCAGGCTGTTAGCTGGGAAAAGTATAGTTGGGACCGGATTGCGTTCATCAATTGGACAAAGTTAAAAAATAGTGGTTCGGCACTCCTATAAAAAAATATTTTCAGCAACAAGCGACTTTTTTGAGAGTTTTTACCTTCGATGGTTGATGCTGAAATACCACTTCTCCAAGAGAAAATCGTCGTCGTAAGTTTCTGGTGATTTTATAGTCAAATCATTTTTACACGAACATGTCAGAAGTACTTCTAAACAGACCGGAATGTTTTTCTTCCATAAATCCAAAACTTCCAATCGCACATTCTCGTAAGTTGAGCACTAAAAGGAATTACATCAACCTTAATTTTGATTAAAAAGTTTAAACACGATTGTTTTGATGTTTTTCACAAAAATAAACAGACGATTACGGTTTCCCTATATTACCTACAGAATAGGAAATACACGATTTAAAAACTCATTATAAATATTGCATTTTGTTTCCAACTTGACTAAAGAAATAATCTCCTTTTTTTTCTGCCTTAAAAATGTCTTTAGTTAATGATATACATATAATTGATTATAATAGTTAATATAATTGCTTGTTTGAGATGGAGTTTTACATTTTACAGAAAATCCCTTTAACTGTTTTCCTTGAGATTATCTGAAAGTAATTTTTTAATAAAACTGAGTTCACTATTTTAAAGAAAACAAAAAGAAATTAAAAGCGTCTATGCAAATTATATTTATGGAAAGCTTTATTTTTGAATGTAAGATCGCTTAAATTTGCATTTAATTTTAATTTTTAAGATCCTTAATTTGCTTCAGTAGACGGAGATTAAGAGCTAGGGTAAAGGTATTATTAGTGTCATGTGAAGAAAATTGTCGATATATCATTATATGTATTTTAATAAAAAAAAATAATATGTTAGAAACCTAACACCGTATGTGACTCTCAATATTTTCATATTCTACAACTAATAAAGCTGAATCGATTTCCGAAACCTGAACATAATTAATACTGCAACTGTACCACATAAATAAATGCTTCATGACGTAAACCCCGCGTTAAAAATGCTTATTAGCGTACATATTGTGATTTATTGAAAACTAGACACATTTTCTAAGCTGATGGAAATGTTCTTACGTCAAACAAACACGCAAGTCTCGATTGATCATAACAACCGAAGCTCTTTCATTCCCAATTTTATTAATGGTAATTTCGAAATAAATTTTCATTGTGCAAATGTAACAAACGCAAAGCTTCAAAGTAGAATTTATTTTTGTCAGTGGATTGATTGCTTTTAATAAAACTGACTGCTTTCTTTCATAATGAAATTGGTGCGGTAATACTGACTTGCTGTTCAAAAGCACTTTTCTTACTCAAATATAATTATCTTGGTAATTCAAGCTGCAAAAATACATATGCAATAAAATTAAAACAAGAAGACATATTATGTGAGATCATAAACCCTGAAAAACATAAAACAACCGTACAACATTTTGTAGTGTGTTATCGCTTATACAGGGTGTTCCAATGAAAACGAGCCACTTCGAATATCTCAGAAATTAAAATGACTTTGCAAAAACGCCGAAACAGGTCGACTTTGTTCCCGAGGGGAACATTTTTTGACGTAATTTTTAAATCACCCCCAGTAACCCTATAACCTCCATGCACCCCAACTTTAAAAATTTAAATGGCACTACCCTATTTGTGGCACACCAAATGAAAGCTATTTTAACAAGGTTTTCAAAACTTTTTACCAAAATTGAATCAGACCATCCATTCATGAGATACAGGTGTTCGAATAAAAACGGACCATCTTAGAAAAAAATTTGCAAAAAAAAGAACCGAAACAGGTTAATTTTGTCTTTAAAAGGAATTTTTTTTAAAAGCAACTTTACTAACCCTTTAACCTCTATGCCACTTAACTCTAAAATGTCAAATAGCACCAACCACTACTGATACAAAAAATGAAAACACTTTTAAAATGCTCTTTAAAAGCTTTTTTCCAAAATGAAATGATTTTTCTACATTCATAAATATCGGCAAAAAACTAATCTTTCAACAGTCAGTATGTACAACGGAACTTAAGAACTATATTGCTATTTTTTAGATATTTACATTAAATTATTGTCCTTTAGTCCGATTATTTAGACAATAAAATAAAGAAATAAAAATAAGTTTGTTACAGTTTCAATAATATCGTGCGATTAAAAAAAAAATTAGAGTAGGCGACGAATTATATTCTACAGTTGGCAACACGTTAAAAATGACCAATCACCATTTTCGTCTTGTACAGAATTTTTGTAATAACTTGCAACAATAAAAATTTTCTGCTCTAAAGTGAACATTATTTCACTCAAACTTGTCAAAGTTTCCGCTGACATTTGATGTCAAAAATCAGGATTGCCATATGAAGGACTTTAATCACCGCCTACTCTAATTTATTTATTTTTTTGATTGCAGGGTACTTATAACAAATATTAGTATGGTTCTTGTAATTTATTTTAATAGTTTTTATTAGAACTAATTACTAATTAGAAACATTATCTTTTGCGAATATCTTATGAATAGATAATCCCATTCAACTTTAGAAAAGACACTTTTATTTGATCTGTCGCAAGTGAGTCGTGTCATTTGAAATTCCGAAATTGAGTTGGAAAAAGTTAAAATGTGCTTTTAAAATTGTGTCAAAAGATGTCTTTTTTAAAAACAAAATTAACCTGTTTCGGTTTTTTTTGCAAATTCTTTCTGGTTCGTTTTTTTTAGAACAGCCTGTATCTCACGAGTGGATGGTCTGATTCAATTTTGGTAAAAAGTTTTGAAAATCTTGTTAAAATAGCTTTCATTTGATGTGTCACAAATAGGGTAGTGCTATTTAAATTTTTAAAGTTGGGGTGCGTGAGGGTTAAAGGGTTACTGGGAGTGATTTAAAAATTACGTCAAAAAATGTCCCCCTCGGAAACAAAATCGACCAGTTTTGGCGTTTTTGCAAAATCTTTTTAGTTTCTGAGATATTCGGGGTGGCTCGTTTTCATTGGAATACCCTGTAGGTATAGGGATATCATCACACAGTATGCAAACATTTTTTATGTTCTTTGTGTTGATGGTTACAATCGATACTTACCAATAAATTCGATAGGTCGCACTTATGCTCTCTCGCTGTCTTATTCAAAGGACAATGCGGCCCTTCGTAGAACCCCCCTTTCGTTTTGGTGTTCAGTTTACCCGGAATTCGTCCTTCTGTCACCAAAGCAGCAATTGCCACCAAAACCTCTCCTCCGTCTTTGCCGCTTATCTCAGAATCAAAACTCGCGCTATGCATCTGTAAAAAAACAAAACAGAATTAAATCTTGTATCCTATAGATAAACGTAATCAAAACGAAGATTATGTTTGAAAAAGGCAAGGCCACGTCAGGACACGTGAATCTAAGTGTTTTACGTAATCGTTACTCGATCACATGCTGCCAGAAATAGGACAGTAAAAGTATTCTAATTCTAGAGACGAGCCAAAAGTGGTAATGGGCTTATGATGGCCACAGTAATGGGCTTATGATTGACAAAGAATCAATCGACTTCAAACTCTTGTTGTTTCTTTATTGAATAAAAGAAAAAAAAAAACGAAATCAATACGGAAGAGGAATAACGAGGAAAGCAGGTTGGAGAAAGTGTTAAAAATCGGAACATTAATTATTGCTACTGGTAACAATTACTGTAATCTTCATCAGGTGATTGTTTTTGAATGAAGGTTAGATCCCATCTTTGTGAAAAAATTAGAAAGCATATTTATCCCTGCTAGATAATAGTTTGGTTTTTTCCGGTGTGAAATTAGCATGATGTTTAGAAATGTTTGTTTTGGTATTCAGGGTCAGACGTGTTTCCTTAGCCCCACCACGTCTAAAATAATCCACATGAATTTGCAAAAATTTAAATTCGGCACATGTTTTATTTTTAATTCACAGACATTTCAATATTTTATTTATTTTGATATATCTAAAAATTTTAAAATACAACTGGAATTATAGTTTGTAGTCAATATTTTGTCTAGACAAATTCATAAAAAATTTTTGGAACACAAAAAAGGTCAAGTCGCAAATTAATTCAACTTTATCTTATCAGTGCCAACAGTTCCAGTTGTAAATTATTAGATCTATTTTGTTGAAACTAAAGTGATTTATTGACAGAAACAATTTGGAATCAATTTTATTTTGTTTTTAACGTAAACCAAAACTTTCTTCTGAAAAAAAAATGTTGCTACACTACTACATAGGTATGTCCTCGTATAATGTTTAAAAATTACTATTACTTAACGCTAACTTATTATGTATTGAGTTCTGAATTTATCTCCAAGTTATTTCACTTTTTCTTCAAATTTCAGTATTTTTAATATTAAA